AAAAAAACTCACCACCCATACATACACGCATGCAAACATGCGTCAGGTGCGCATACCTGCGAAAACGACGATTGCGCCCATCACGCCGCACATGTTACATATCGCCGCAAACGTCGGAGTAAGAGCAATAATTTTAGGGCCATCAATCACTGATAACACTAAACTGATGAGCTGTAAAAGCTGTTAAAGCGTCACCTATGGTCAATTTTGGGCATGGTAGTTTTTTGCGATTTCCTGTGTCCGCGCAAATTTTAAGCTTGACATGTTTGGTGTTTATTTACCCGACGTGACCCTGTCTTTTACATTTTACCCAAAAATTGGGTAATAATAAATGTTTCATAACATAATGTAAAAAAAAATATTGTTTTTTCAACATTTTCAGTAATTTTTTCTAAATATAGTAAAAAATAAAACCCGCCGTGGTGATTAAATACCACCAAAAGAAAGCTCTATCTGTCCCCCAAAAATGGTATAAAATTCATTTCAGTACATCGTTGCATGACAGAATAAATGTCAGTCAAAGTACTGCAGCGCTGAATACTGAAAAATGGCCTGGCCAGGAAGGGGGCCTAACCACCTGGTCAGCAAGTGGTTAAGTAAATTGTGTCACTGGTCACATCACTGTGTTGCACAATAAGACACGATAAGGCACATTTTAGTGGTTTTGGTCAGTAATGCATATCTGACCACTATCTCTGTTCTGTTCTTTGTTCTCTCTCTCCCCCTCCTTATGTAGGTCTTTGTAACCTATAGACTGCCTGCCTTGTTAGCCAATCTAACATCTCTGTATATTTGCTCCCATTGGGATATATTAAAGTATATGTAAAGCCATGTTTTTGGGGATATAAAGTAGTGAGGGTTAATACCCCTGTCATGCTTCAATTGCCATCTGTACCCACATATTTGTCCTGGTGTACATTATCTCTGGTACAGAAAATAGTGGGAAATCCAAAATTTGAGTTGTCACAGAGCAGGAAGTGAGTGGAAATCTTCCAATGGGAACATAAGTTTCAGAGAGGATTCCTCCTTGCTTTGGAAAGATTTCCTCTTATTACATGTTGTACCTCTGGGACAGGACCCAAAAAAGGTTAGACTTTACATACACTTTAAGTTGTTCCTATTAGTCATTTGCTCTATATTTAGTTTTTCCCCCTATAATCTTGTTCTGGGCTTCCCATATGCTAAGCCCCCTTACCATCTTCCTCATCTTCCCTGTCCTGTTTATGTTTTGTGCTTTGCCCTGCCTTGTGTGTCTCCCCTTTATACTTGTCTGTTACTCGCCCCATTCTTTTTTCTTTGGTACAGTAAAGTGCATGTGTTGGAACAATGTGTGGTGTGTGTGAAGAAACAGGCACAGGCTGGCACATATATTACCGCAGTTATCATTCCTATTTCCTCCAAGCAAGAACAGTTATGCATGTGCATTCTCCAGATATAGAGAATGGGTGCACCTATTTGCACCCACTGTGACAGCTGTGGGAAAAAGGGGGTGTGGCATAGAAGAAATGGGCACTGTTTTCCACAACCATAACACCAACATATAAACAAAATGTTACTCTACCTTTCAGATGTGTTCAGGTGTTTAAATGTATTGTGGTAGCCAGACTGCCATAGAGAACCAGAGCAGAGGGACTGAAATAAATGATTCAGTCTTTATATATCTGATTTTGAATTGAAAAGTAACACATTTTGAGTTCTGTAAGTAACCTTTTGCTTGTTTAATGTTTTTATTTTCCACCCAAAAGCAAATTGCTAATTTTGGCAGTCCTCTTTAAAGTAAAATGACACTGTCTTAAGCTTTTGCTACAGCATACAAATAGTGTATTGTTGCCATGTTTGAAAGAAAGTGCAAATTGCATTTCTGGCAGATTTAGAAAATTATAGCTGGTTACATATCAAATTTGGCAGGTAGTTTGTAATCTAATTAAAGAAAATATTGTATTAAAAATGACCCCTCCTTCTAAAATTGCTCAATAACAAAAATAATAAATAAACAATAATAAAAAAACAATAATAGACACTTACAGAAGACCTGGACCTACATAAGGGGATCCTATAAAAGCAGAGGATACCAAATCCCACAGGAATGCACTTGTGCAATGCACTATGATGTATTTTGTGTTTTTAGATGGGGGGGTCATTCTTAATGAAAGGTCTGCTCTATGTTATAAATAAAATACATATTTATGTATTTATTTTGGAGCTAGCTAAGATTCTCTAAAACTGTCATAAAATTCTCGCCATGGCCACAATAGTATTGTTAATTCTTATTTATTGTTCTTATAAATGGCTTACTGCTTTTCTCAGAGGTTTGCACAAAGCTTGAGGTAAAATTCAGTCATTCCCAACCTAGTTTACTATGGTGGGTCCCTTCAGCTTCGGGGACAAACTAGCCAAAGGTGCTAAATGGAAGCTGTTGTTCATTATGTGGCCGATCATGTGATAACAGACCCACCCTCCCATTTAGCTGGCAGAAACTGTCAGACCAGTCAAAAGATCTGTGAGGGGTGCTAACCCTTTCCTACTCTACCCAAAAGATAAAAGCTTGGCATTCTGCTATAAATACTTCCGTTATACAAAAGCCTTGCTAACTTACTTACTAATGTTAAAGAAGAAATTAGGGCAGAGTACAAATTAAACTTTGCAGTGGGGCTACCCCAACACTGCAAGGGTTAACTGCAAATTTTTCTCAAGGGGACCGAAATAAAGAAGACCTGTTCCTCGGTCTTGCGGCAGAGACCATTCAAATCTCTACCCCTACCCTCTGGTGGTGAAATGTCCCTCAGTGTCCTCATTTCTAATACAGTGTATGTGACTCGCGGGTCATTAGACCACCAGAGCCCAGGGAAGAAGAGGCCATTGGAACCAAGGATCAGGTGAATATGTTTTTTATTTTAGACCCCAGACCAAAATGAGCAGTTAACCCTTGCAGTGTGGAGGTAGCCCCACTGCAAGGGTTAATTTTATTCTTTCCGGAGTTGTTCTTTAAGGGAAAATATACCGTAGTGTAACTCACCACTCAGGGTACAGTTGGAGTATGCAGACTGTAAAACCATGGGGCTGAAAAATCTATCATATTGAATAGAAAATAGACATGGATGGCCATTCTTGAGGCAGTTGGGCTGTGTTTTTTAATATAATAATCACCCTTATGATACACATTATTACACAGGGAAACATTCCAACGTGTGTAAAAATCATCCTGCAAGTGAGTCCTGATCCTTCCCTCTTCTTTAGAGAAAAGTAAAGGGCAAGAAATACTAAATGTGCTGTGCTTTTAAGTTTGGGTGAGGATAGCAGTGGGTCCTATGTTTATGTAAATCATTGGGGGATGGACAGTTATCTTACCACCTTTCATTTAATAGGGAGATACTGTATCTGTAGATATCCTTTAAACTCACTGCATTGCTAAAGTAATGGTACAATAATCACATTTTACTGCAATTTCAATTGTTTTGTTTCTTGGAGCTGGGAAGCAGTAGAACCATGATGTTTTATGTATTATTATTATTATTTATTTTTAATTATTTTTACAATGAAGAGCATGAAGTGAACAGAAACTTACTAAATGGCCCCATAATTTCCATATGTATTTGTTTTAATGTTTACATATTTATAAAGAGATCCTTCACATACATTTTCTCATTATTTCTACAACATTATTTGTATAAGCTTGGGCTTAGGAAAGGCCTAACAAATCCAGATATCATAAACAAAAGCTCAGGCTCGATACAGCCAAGCTACAAACACTAACATTAGACTAAGGACACTCCAGCTAATTGCAGGGTCCCTACATGTGTTTTGTAAGCTGAATAGTAGATGACGGAATAGCAGTTAAATGCTGCCAAATACTGACTGCAAGTGGAAAATGAAATATGCATTAGGGCAGTTCATACTAGTCTAACTAAAAAGAAAGGACTTTTTTATTACAGAACATTATTAACAAATATATGAATAAGATGCATACAAAACACTACACTTTTTTAACTCAAGTGAAGAGGGGTGGGTCAGTCTACTGAAGACATAGTGATAGGGAGACGAGCCAAACATAAGTAATGTATTTTCTTATTCCTGGCAAAATCATGTTTGTAGGAAGGAGCAAAGAAAATAAACATAAGTAATTTTGATGCTTTTGTGTATTATCAGATAAGCAGGATAGTAACAAGATATCAAATTTAATAGGAGCTGTTGTTTTGAAATATAGAGAGATCAAACATCTGAGTGATGGTGTACCATAAGAAAATGTTTATCAATATATTAAATGAATCAATAGCCAGCATGCAGTTATCTATGTTGAACACATATTTGTATTTCCACCGAAAAGATTACATATAATGGCCAAATACCATGCATGATTTCTTTTTAACATTGGGCTCAGTAATTGAGATAATATATTACTGTATGTCAACATCAGTTTCTCCTCTGTATGGAACTAATCAATGTCACATGAAATACATACTATTTGTTTATATATTGTCTATCTATCTCTTCAGTAGTGCTTGTTCCAAGGTAAAGCAGACAATATACAGCAACGTACAGCCATCCAACTCTAATGCACTGTGGGATCCAGACTTCATGGTGGACTTTATAGAAAACCCATCAGTGCACAATATCAATCACTTTGTGCTGGGGAAGATCCTCAGTGAGAATGCTGCTAACCGTTACAGTTTTGTGTGTAATGTCCTTATGAATGTGTGTATGGGCCACCAAGATGCTGAGAGGTGAGTATCATGATTTATATTTAAAGTGGACCTTTCAATAATTGTACCTTTCTCTGTTAATCCATTCCGGATATTACACAAAATACAACATTATAATTAATAAAAAAAAGTATTTGTAACCATTAAAATGTGGTCCCTCAGCTCCAGCCAAGTGATTTTGTCTAGGGCAGGGGTAGGCAACCTTGGCTCTCCAGCTGTGCTGAAACTACAAATCCCATCATGCTTCTGTTTCTGGGAGTCATGCCTGTGGCTTGCAATGCCTTGTGGGATTTGTAGTTTCAGTACAGCTGGAGAGCCAAGGTTGCCTACCTCTGGTCTAGGGGAAGATGGTGTAACCAGTCTACTGCAGACAGAAGGAAGCATTTCTCCAGTTTTCTCCCCTCCATTGATCAGACTGCAAGATTGAAATTTTGTAGCAAGCCACAAGGGGAGACGCTTAAAGTGTATTCCAGTTTTGTAGTCAAAATTGTGTTTATGTGTGCCCATTTGCACAGCAGACCTAAAAATTATAATAGAAATATTTCTTACCGTTCTACTCGTTCCTTTGGAGCAGACCTTTGTGAAGACTGCAAGCTAATCCTGAACAGTTTATTTTATTTATTATCTCTTTATTTAATTTTTTCATATAAGACACAATTACAAAAAAAGGTAAAGAAATCATTAAAAAACAACACTAAATACATCAAAACTAATAACACACTATAAATAAGCATCATGAAAAATAAAAGCAAAACAAACAAAGGGGGGAAAAAAAGAACATATTGAAAATAAAGGACAACAGATCCAATTAAAGATCTCCCTGGTTAGTATACACCATAAAGCTGTATGTATGTAATATATTAGGGATGCAACGATATATCGGCCGCCGAAACATATCGTCCGAAAATTGCACTTTTGGCACATTTTCCTGCCAATACATCGGCGCATCCCTGCTTTCTTTCCTTCCCCCTGGGCGCTGCTCTGTGTCCCAGTGGGGAGGAGAGAAACTGTGATAGCCAGCCGAGCGCTGTGGGAGGAGAGTGCTGTGGACGGCCGGCATCTCCTCCCACACCGCTCATCCTCCTATCACAGTCCAGCAGAGCGGTGTGTGGGCGGAGACAGGCCGCACTGTCTGAGCTCTCCTCCCTACACCGCTCGCATCCTCCTGTGACAACTTGTCAGAGAGGAGAGCGAGAGCAAACATCCAGCGATCAGTGATCGCTGAGTGTTTGTACATAATTGAGGACATGGTGTGTGTACTATATCCTCAATTATGAATGAATGGGAGTGATCTACATCACCTCCTGTTAATTCATGATTGTGGTTATAGTAAACATACTCTGTCCTCATGTTATCAATGAACAGGAACACTCATAGAGGATTCCTGTTCATTTATAACAGGGGGCTGCAGAAAAGAACAGTTTAAAAGTGAAAGTGGATTTTGAGATTTTGAATTGAGGGTAGGCTCAATGTCCCCTCATTAACATACAAGGCAGAACACACACCATGAAATCATGAACTCTTTCTTAGAACAGGCAGTGTTCAAATCTAGTTTACAACTGATGAGATCTTCTAGCACAGTACAGATAGGGTTCATTATGGCAGACAATAACTCCCCAGCCCTCTCCTTAACATTGTATAGCAGGAGACATCTTCAGTTTTGATGTTTTCAGAAAACAGTTGAAATATAAGCAGGAATTAAAAAAAAAATAAAAAATAATGAATTTTGCATGGTAATGGGGATAGATAACAAATATAAAGTTATCCCAATTTGGCTGCAAAGGGGGAAATGCACTTAAAGCAGGCACTGATCTTACATTTGTGAGCATATCAAGGAACTGGACAGGCACTGGGATTTACATGATAGTCTAGTCTCTAAGCCAATAATACTTCCTTGGGCCTGTCCTAGGGTTCAATAAATGTATCTTGGGCCGTTCAAAATTCCTTTTCATAGGTATTTTTTTTTTTTTATAACTCTATTTTATTTCATAACATTCTCCAATTTACATCATGATCCAATAAACACACATTATACGTAACCATTCATATACATCATCACCATAACTTAATCATATCTAATGCTTCAACTCCTATATTATACACATCTCATTTATCCTCCTTCTCTTTAAAACCACTATCCCCCACCAAATTGTGTATTTAAACCTTAAATCTAGGTCTCTATTAAATATATATAAGTTTGTATCTCTGATGAACTTGAAAAGTCTCTCCATGGCCTCCACCTCTCCTCAAACTGGGTGAAGCTTTTATGTAGGCGTGCTATAAGCTCCTCTATTTGCATTATGTTATTTATTTCGTTAACCCACTCCCGTATCTGAGAAGCATTGGGTGACCTCCAATGCTGAGGTATTATTGCCCTGGCTGCTTCCAGTATGGGACATACTAAACCCTTTTTTAAACCCTTCACAGGGCCAGGTAGCATTGAGAAAAGTGCTACCTCTGGGGTCTCCAAGAGTCTCAATCTTGTCAAACAACTTTCAACCTCAAGAACTGTTCTCCAATATGAAATGTAGTAACTGACATGACCACCATATATCCACCATTGTCCCCTCTTCTAATCCACACCTCCAACACATCTTGGATACTTGGGGATTTATTTTATGCATTATTGTTGGACATCTATACCATCTTATTAGAATTTTTAAGTTTCTCTCCTGTGTTTTTACTGCCATACTTGATTTAAAGGTTAGATAAAAAGACATCTTACACTCCTCTTCCCCTACTCTACTTCCTAATTCCCGTTCCCATTTCCTAATATAATTAGGAGGGAGCGGGTACATTTGTGCTAATAGTAGATTATATACCCTAGAGACTGTGTGTCTTCTTTCAGCTTTTTTAATGCAGACATCCTCAAAAGGGGTCAGATCCCTAAAGACAGTTCCCCTTATACTTAAATGTTGATAAAAATGTCTAAGTTGAAGGTATTCTAACCATTTACTTGTGCTAGGTGTATCACTCGGGAGTAGCTCCAATAATGGAAATACTCCGGAGGTGTTAACCACCTGTATAATAGGGGAATGCTTTGTACTGTCCCACTTTAAAAACCTCCTACTCTCTAAGCATAATGGGAAATCAGAGTTGCCCATAATAGGTGTTAATGCGCCCAGATATGATGATATATCATATCTCGAGATCACTGCATCCCATACACTCAATACTGATGCAATCAAGGGGGACCTTATCCAACTATGAGATCGTTTAGCAGGTGGTAACCATGGTATCGATGTCAATGGCACTGGAACCTCTGATTGCTCAATAGATACCCACAATTTGGGCTGCTCTATATTGAACCCTTTTTCATAGGTATTATTTAAAAACAAATTCTTACTAGCCTGTAATGTGCTATGGCCCCAATGACATGGTATTGCTTGTTTTCACAACGCTAGGAGTGCTTATTCCTGCTTTTGTAGCTCAATCATTGTTTTAAATTTCATCCCAATCCTAAGTATAGTCTATTGCTTAAAGCTTTTTAGACATCTGTTCTTTGGTGATCCACATGACCAGTCTTTTTTTCTGCAGGATCTATGATATTTCGAACCTGTGTGCTGAACTTACAGCTTGCTGCACTGTGCTCAGCTCGGAATGGCTGGGTGTACTCAAGGCTCTTTGCTGTTCCTCCAATCATGTGTGGGGCTTTAATGACTTACTATGCAGTGTGGATGTAAGTATTGGTCAGGCTCATAATATATGCATAGCTTGTTTGTTAATGCTATTATGCATTGTTCATCTCCTAATTATATATTTTTTTCTTGGTCAGCAGAAAGTTATTTGTATGTGTTATCCGTGTGCAAACCGCATTTTTTTTTTTAGTTGCTCCATAAATCTAATGTTTTTCTAAGTCAGTAAAGGTTCTCATATAGCTAGTTCACGATTTTAGCTAGCTGTCGTTAGTCACATTCGACTGGACATATTCTGTAATATTGAAGACATTTCATAGCTCATCCAAGCAATTGCTTCAGTTTTAATGAATGTCAGGAAAATACCTCAACATTTAAATCCAAACAGGTAGCGCAGACACCTGAATCCAATCACCATGGAAAAGCAAATGTAATTGTCTAAGAACTGCATTTTGACAGCAATTCACACCTTTAGCCATGCAGATCGAAGAATTAGCACCTATGAAGCCTTCTTGACACAAAGAATGTGATTATGGAAGTACAACTGGGTGGTGACACAATTTGTACACCTCCCATCTTGTTCTTTGACAATAACACCTGCCTTTCCATAGTGATTAGGTTAAGATGTCTGTGCTATCTGTGTTAATACAGTATATGGGGTATTTTCCTGACAATCATTAGAACTGAAAAAGTGGCTTGGACAAGTGTGGTTGAATGTGACTAACTACTACAAACTAATATTCATAGTTTTCAAATGAAAAATCTGTAATAAAAAATACAACATGAGTAATTTTATTTAGTAACACTCCCAAACTCTACAGATTGCAGTGGAAACTTGGAATATTTAGAAATGAATCCTGATGAAAATTTTTTATTTTGTCAACTGAATCTTCTTTTTCCTGTGTCTTGTAGGTTAGTGATCTTTCGTTCCATGATTCTCTGGCCACTTTTATAGCTGTCCTGATAGCAAGGCATTGTTTTTCACTTGAAGATGTGGTGCAGCATGTCGCACTACCCTCTCTCCTCGCAGCAGGTACCATGTCTAAATAGTAGAGCTGTAAAACTTTACAGTTTACTTTAAAGTATACAGTTTCTGTTTTTTTATTTTTTTTAGAAATTCGTATTTTATTGAGAATTTTTTCAAATATAAACATACAAAGAGAGAGAGAATAATAAAAAATGTATAAATATAATAAACATACAAAGATGGAGTAGTGTACAGCATCATACAATAATGAAGTGGTGAAATGATGAAATGTAATCAATTGAAAAAATTAGAAGGGTGGTCAGTGAACACTGTAACCAAGAGGGCACGCACAATTTGGTATAGCAAAGTTCAAGTCAATAGACTGTCACAGCAGTATGCGTCAAGTGAACACTGTAAAACAAAAGGCATCTCCCATGAGCCACCCTTCTGGCCGCCCTGAGTGCCGGCCTAGGAAGGGCTATAGAAATTCAGACTCTAGGCATTGGTGGCGTTCAGAATGTAACTGCAACGTACACAAGCAGGGAAAGGGAAAACGGAAAGGCAAAAAGAAAGCTGTGCGCGCAGCAGGCGGAAAGCTAAGATACAAATGCACAAATGCTTTGGGACACGGTAGAGGGACAAAGTAGTGAAAGGATAAAGAGCTAAAGAATGCAAGGATGAGCGGGGACAGGTGATCGCCCCCACCGAGGGTCACACTGAATCAGACTCCCTGCAGTTGTCTGTAGGTGTCCAGTTTCTGTTTTTTGACTCCACATTAAGGCTGAACTCCAGGCAGATAAAAAAAAACACAATTTTAGCCAGTTATGACACAATTAACCTCCTGTAATTCCCTTAACATCAGCAATAGACCTTAAAAACAGATAGACAGCACACTGAGCCAATATGACTCTACTGAACTGCACTGTGCTGTCCACATACAGTGGCACCTCGGTTCACGAACCTAATTCGTTCCACGATTCTGGTCGCGAACTGAATCAAACTGTGATCAGACCGCGATCTCGACTAGAGGAAGCCACAACCATGTGTCAGAGCAGGGAAGATGGCTGCGGTTGGGTTCGTCACCCGATGCGGAGTCCGCGAATGGAAGCAAAGTTTTGCCGAACTTCCTGTTCGCAAACCGAATTGTTCACGAACAGAAGTGTTCCGTTAACAGAGGTTTTTCTGTGTTTGAGGTATGCTTGGATGCATGTCAAATGCAGGTCAACAAAATCTCATTAAATTTTATTGAGCAGTACACGTGACAATTCAGAGGCTGCATATGACCTGCATTACCCTTCATTTCTGTGGATGCAGCATGTCCTATTAAGGTGTCTGCAGACAGAGCAGATCAAATGCAGCCTTTCCATGACAAACACTATCAGGGTTATTCACAAAAGGATGATGAGTTTGGAGTAGGCAGGAGAAGTGAACAATCCAGGACAACGTAGCTGAACTGGAAACATTCTCCAATTGAGCTCACTTTCCAGTTCAGCTATGTTGTCCTAGATTGTTCACTTCTCCTGCCTTCTCCAAACTCTTCACCCTTTTGTGAATAACCCTGTATGTTTTTCATTTGAATGCAGCAATTCTCAAGCAGCAAATATGTACATTTCCTAAAAATGCTGTGATAAAAAAAGTAAATGTGAAAAATCAAATCTTAATGGAAAAATGGGTTTATTGACCCATTCCCCATCAAATTAGTGATAAATACAGTCCTAAATTAGAATTAGTGAGCTATTATTATATATAGAGTACCAATGGGCATTAATGTCAAGTGATAGGGTAAATATCCAGTTTATTGCATGCATCCTTGGCAAATTAAACAAAATGCCATTAATCCTTGTCAGTGGACTGTCCAGTTGGCTTATCAATAGAGGTCTATATTGGTGTTAAAGGAACATTGCATACCCATTCTAGAGGTGGACATCTCTCTGCACTTTGGACATTTAAGCTTTATATATATGAAATACATTCTATGCATTTTGTAATACTATGACACTTGTCCAGTATTGTATAGGAATGCAATAAGGAGAATAGGTAAGAGGGGGAAATATACCAGATTTCATTAAATTAAATGTGTTCCAGCTTTAGCTCTCCATAGACTTCAGGGGGCAATACAGGAATGAGAATCCACCTTCAGGGCATACAATCTGTAGCACACTCCACTGAATTGTAAGCCTGGGCTAGATGAGCTTATAAGAAACATATTTGGGAGGGACAGAGGGGAAAATGGGAGGTGTTGTTGAAGGTTTTCTAATTTTCTCCGACAGTGGGCAGCAATTTGATTTGGCAGCCACCCACATATATCAGACTGTTTTTGGGAACCATCAGATAATATATGTGGGCACCTAATATTATGGATCCATTACTGATTCAATTACAGTGATACATTTCTCTAGTTTTCCTTTGACTCCATGTACCTACACAATATGGCAACTAAAACTGATGTCCTTCTCACACACACACACCTCACACTCAGTAGTGGAGTTGAACATTTAACCCTGGCAGCCTAACTTCCCTGCCTCTTGAAAATGAGAAAACAATTACTGCAAGTGGCGCAGGAAATGCAGTTATTGCCAACAAGAACACCAAAGGTCTTTGTTTTTTGTGTTCAATTGCTCATAATTGTCTTATTGTAAAGAGATTGAGAATAACCTGCATAAATAAAATAGAAACAATACTGATTTCAATGTAGCAGTGATGTAACATAATTGAAGCTATCTGTAATTACAGTGAATGGTCACGCACGGTCTCATGGTGTATTTATGGCTGATAAATAGATACCTTTCTTTACAGCTTGTGGTGATCCTGATGCTGAGCCTGGAGCTAGAATGACATGCCGCCTCCTGCTCCATCTACTAAGAACACCACAGTTCAGCCCACTGGGTGCAACAAATGGTGAGTTATTATTATCATTGGTAACTAGATGAATCCACATATATTCATATTAGCCTGCTCTTGTTAACCATTCTCAGAATCTAGTAGTGGCTCTCACTGGCATCTGATTATTTGATGTTGTTCTCTTCACTTCTTACATCATCATAACACTCTGTACTAATTTGGAACAAACCAGCTTGTCATGCTACATTAGGCTTAATAAAAACATACAGCTTAATGACATAACATTTACAATATAAGAATATATACTGTATTGTATAGAATTATTAACAATTAACAGGATCCATGTGACCTTGGCACTTCGGTCATTAACCACTTCAAGACCAGGTGTTTAGACCCCCTTCCTGGCCAGGCCATTTTTCAGTGTTCAGCGCTGCGATACTTTGACTGACGTTTATTCCGTCATGCAACGCTGTACTGAAATGAATTTTACACCATTTTTTGGGGACAGATAGAGCTTTATTTTGGTGGTATTTAATCACCACTGGGGGGTTTTATTTTTTATTATCATTAGGAAAAATTACTGAAAATTTTGAAAAAAAACACGTTTTTTTTTAACATTATGTTAGGAAACATTTATTATTACCCAGTTTTTTGGTCAAATATAAAAGATCGGGTCACGTTGGTTAAATAGACACCAAACATGTCAAGCTTTAAAATTGCGCGCACCCGCGATATCGCAGAAAACGACCGCAACCAAAATTAGCCATAGGCGACGTTCTAAACGTTTTTACCGCTCATCAGTTTAGTGTTATCAGTGATTGATGGCCCTAGACTTATTTCTCTCACTGCGACGTTCGCGGCGATATGTAACATGTGCGGCGTAATGGGCGCAATCGTCTTTTTTTGCACGTATGCGCCCCCGACGCATGTATGCATGCGTGTATGTATGGGTGGGGACTTTAAATTTTTTTTTACAGCCGGCGGATCGCATGTATATTAACGGGCATCGCTGCCCGTTTTTAAATTGCGGCCATTTCCCGCTCGCGCGTGCCCATGTCTGAGCGGACGTCTAGAGACGCCCGCTCAGATCTAGAGAGCTCCTGGCCGGCCATTTTTTTACTACGGCCGGCCTGGAGGCAGTTAAATATATTTCAAGTCCATTTCCAACTTTGTAAGTGATTAGCATTTATTGTGGAAATGAAGAGGTGCAGTGATGATGTATATGTGTGCACATTTTTATGACTCACATTTTAGGTTTTCCTTGTTTTTTTAGTGAACCTTATATTAGGCCTTAAGCCTAAAAATTCAAAATTGTCTCCAAATGAACATCAATCAGACACCAGGGTCAGATTGTAATTTGGCTGTAAACAGCTGCCCCCTCACTGTGATCCATTGTAACATGATCAGTGAACAGTAGCTATGCCTTTGCACACAATACACTGTCTGGGGAGGGGGGTCTGCCACTCTGAATACTAATGAATAGAAGAGGTGAGAAGGACCTTGCAAAACACAGGCAGACATTTTTACATAGGGATTTGAAGAGGAAAGCTAACAAAAAAAGTAAGTTTGTGGGTTCACACACAGGAACTGCATATGTCTGTTTCATGTGCACTTGGTGTACATTGCTGGCATATGTTTTTTTAAAATACCTCTGCAAAGGTAGAAATGGGCTTTAAAGCTAAACACCAGGCAAACGCTAAATTCACAGATGAAGTACAGGGGGATATTTTTTACCTGCTAAAGGATTTGTATTTTCTCCATCCAGTCCTGAATTTTGCACAGCTCTGACACACAACACAACCGTGCCTGACAGGGCAGGAAACCTGCTTTTTCTCTGCTTGACTTAAGTAACACTTACAGGTCTTTTCCCTCCCCCACCCTGTGACTGAGAGTAAAAGGAGAAGCAGCAGACTGATGAGCTCATCTCTCTGTCACTCTGCTCTTTGCTCCTACCAGCATGTTCTTTGTTAGCACATGACTGCTGCACAACTGACTCTATATGTGTGTTGCTTCTCCTTCACCCAGTCTGGATTATGCTGTACAGGGCTTACAAGAGACTGATCCCAAGTCAAAGTCAGGTACTGCTTGTTTTTTTTAAGATACATGCAATAGAGTATAAACTAATACAAAATTACAATAATTTGTGTCTTTTATATCTGCCTAGTGTTCAGCTTTAAAAGTAAAGTCTTGGTAGGTAGGAAGTAATATGGGGTCACACATACTAGGGAGAATGAAAGGAAACACAAAATGAAATTACATTTGAAGTGTAGTGTATGCTTTTAACCGCTTGTCATCCACCCGTTGTGAAAAAACGGACGGAAGGCAAAGTCCCATGGGCGGGTTGCCGTAATTAGACGTTTTTTTTCTGCTCGAGTGCGCCCCCTAGCGTGCACACAGTCAGAAAAAAACTGTCGTTACCGGCTGTTTGACATACAAACAGCTCTATAGCTGCCGTTCGCTTGTATGTTGTGGCTGCGCGCCCCCTTCCTAGAGTAGTGCAGCTGTCCCTTCTGCACCCTCACCTTCAATCCCAGGGATCCGCTCCTCAATCTGCAGCCCGGGACCGGCTCGGGAGGGTGTCAGGAGGTAAGATGGGAGGGAGTTCAGCAACTTCCTCCTTGCTGACCTCCCTCCATACTGTGAATGCGGAAGTGGTGTGTATTACATCACTTCCGCATTCACCTGTCAGTCCTCTGGCTTCTATAGCCAGAGCGAAGAAGCTGATGAAACAGATCTCTGCTTCATTAGCTTCTTTGGGGGTCCCCAGGTGACATAAGGGGTCTTAGACACCCCTAATGTCTCCACAAAGAGGACCTGTCAGTGTTCCTTTGCTATTATATAAGGGGATTGTTATCCCCCTATGTAATAGCAATGACATTAGGTGTAAAAAAAAACATAAAAAGAGTAAAAAAATAAAAGTCACATATAAAGAAAGTAAAAAATGTTAAGTCCCCCACCCCCACGCATACACACATACAAACGTAAACATAAACGTAAATACGCATCAAATGCACCAGCGCTGCAAAATGTCAATTGCGCTACACATGTTGCATATCGCTGCAAACATCGGAGTGAGAGCAATCATTTTAGGGCCATCAATCACTGATGACACTAAACTGATGAGCGGTAACAGCTTTTAAAGCGTCGCCTATGGCCAATTTTGGTTATTGTAGTTTTGTGAGGTTTCACGCGTGCGCGCAATTTTAAGGCTTGACATGTTTGGTGTCTTTTTACTCGACGTGACCCTGCCTTTTATATTTTGCCAAAAAATTGGGTAATAATACATGTTTTATAATTTAATATAGGGGAAACTGTTTTTTTTTTTTTAATTTTCTTTTACATAGTAAAAAATAAAAACCCCAGTGGTGATTAAATACCGCCAAAGGAAAACTCTATCTGTCCCCCAAAAATTGTATAAAATTAATTTCAGTACAGCGTTGCATGGCAGAATAAATGTCAGTCAAAGTACTGCAGCGCTGAATACTGAAAAATGGCCTGGACAGGAAGGGGGTTTAGCACCGCGGACTTCAAGTGGTTAATATGTTCCCTTGTTCCTCCATCCCCCAGATCAATATGCAATTAAATTACATGATATTTTCAATCAAAGCATTTTGTTTTTCAAGAAATACCTGTTCTGTGACCTAGTGATGTCATCAGGGGGTCTGTCTACTGCTGTTTGGTGGGAGGGGACATCGGAGCATTTGGCCTCAGATCTTTTTCAAAACACATCCCAGGGATCCCTTTAGACTTTAGCTTTTTGCAGGCACTTCTAAAGTAATGCCGGGGATATGTTCTATCACATAAAGCTCAGAAACAAAATGATTCATGGCAGAGAAAGTTCCGCTTTTTCTTTAATTTTACCTGGTGATCCAGCCAGTAAGTCTGTTATCTTTCAACTTCCTTTGACAGACCAAACTGTTCAGCAAAAGTGGCAGATATAAGGTTGAGACAAACCATTTAACACTGACAGGGCTGCCTACTAGGGATGCACCGATACCGGTTTTTCAGTATTGAGTACGAGTACCGATACTTTGCTTTCGGTACTCGCCAATATCGAGTACCAATATTGGTGCTTCTGCTGGCATGGAACTGGTTTCCCCGGAAATCAGTTGTTTTGGCTGGTACTGCCCCATCCCCTGCAGTGTACACACCGACACCTTCTAGCTGCGATCCTGTGATGCTCTGGCTGGGTGAGTCCGAGCGGCGGGGAGGGCGAGGGTTGTGTGCTGTTATGTTCATTTAACCCTTTCACTGCCAAGCCCTCGAGGAACATTTTGCAAATCAGCTGGCCACGCCATTTTTGCAATTTTTCCTATTGATTTGATTTTCAACTGCTGCGTTGCTAGCGTTTGTAAAATATCCCCCAAAACCATATATTTTCTGAAAGCACAGGCCCGATAGAATAAAAAGATGGTGCTACTAAATTTGTGGTTCCTGCGATAATTGCCCAAATGTTTCTCAAATTAACATTAAACCGATAAAAATACGCAGATCAATTGATAAAATCATTATCCGTGCACAAAAAAATATATTTTCTGACTAAATCTAAAAGATAAAACTGTATTGAGTTAATAAATAACAAATATTTGCAAATCTGAAATTGCTCCTTTTTGCGAAATGGTAAAGAAATTAGCGACTTATTAAAAAAATTGTTTTTCTGCTGTGTTGGTGTTTGTGTTGTGATAAAATGATACAGGCGTATATTTATTTGCAACACAAGGTATCACAATGCAACCTGGGGAGCCTGGAGGGCCTCTTACATGGGTATCAGCTGTATCAGGGGCTACATGGCAGAGGTGACAGGGGAGGGGGTGGAGTTTGAAGAATGAAAGGCAGAGTGATTTAACACCTGTTTGGATTGTCATCCATGCAACGAACTGAAAAGTATGCCGTTTGCAATAAACTTTGCATACAATAGGTAATTTGCATTTAATTTTAATGGTTCAAAAAATGTCAGGCAAAATGGTCGGCCCTCACGCATGTTCACTTCATCGAATCTGGCACTCTGAAAAAAGTTTGGACACCCCTGATCTAAATCTTCTAGTCAATCGAACCCT